CACTGAATTGGGTCCCAGTGGCCTAATGGTCTATGGGGTCGTCTTGTAACCAGAATGTTCTGGGTTAGAGCCCTGGTGGGTACGTGCTGTCGAAGAGTCTTAGACTGGGAAAAAACAGATGTCCAGTACTTCCTGCAGGTTTGAGAATGCTTCTCTAACCGATGTCAGTTCATGATGAAATCCTCCAACTATCTCTTCATTTTTGTCATTGGTTAGTTTCATATTCTAAATATGCTTATTAATCTGATGTTTTGTATTTCTCTGGTTTTACTTATCAAACTTGTTAAATGACGTTAAATAGGATGTAAATGTACACTCTTCACAATATAAACCATATTTCAGCAGTTATAACAACTTACAAATGTTTTAATTGTAGATTTCTACAACGGAAATGAAATTAGTTTTCCACTATCAAACTTATTTCGTTTTTGTAATTCGTCAGTCTATCTCTTTGTAGTGATTAGATAAATAACGAAGGATATTTTTTAGAGGATAGGATCAGTCAACATTATTGAAAACCGCAAGAGCCTAAGTCAGAATTTACTGGTCATTAGATTCTCTTCCGGTGATTAAATGGTCAGTGAGATGGTATGTAGCTGAGAATCAGTGGGTTTGATCCCCAATCAAGTCTTTTGTGTACGCTAATGAAGAGTCTTAGAATAGGACGAAACATCCGTCAGTAGAGACAGCAATCTATAAGTAGCACATTATAGTATTATTAGCAGCAGAATATGTTCGTTAGTTAGACTGTGGATTTGAACAAACTGACATTTTCATTCCATTTCTGACCATTCGCATAATATGAAGGTAATATAATATGTGCTGGAGATGTCTCCCTCTAACAGGTATTCGTAATGAATATCTCCTCTTGCGAACAATTTCATTAACGAAATATTATTTCGGAAGCTGCAGATGTGAACAGTGGACGATGGCCTTTGAAATAAAGCTGAGGATTCTATTTGTTGTGTGAAACTATAGACTATTTCAACGATAGAATGTTCGTCAGCCACGTACATGGTCCGGACTCGATTCCTTGCTGGTGAACTCCTTAATTTCGACGAGCCAGTAGTAAGCCGAGAATAAGTGAAGGTTCCGCATAGGACTAGAAACACAATCACAACCTTAGTTTTTTTAGCTTCCAACCGGAAACTAAGAAATGCAAAGCATGAACTGTGGAAGTACATGAAAACAGATCAAAATGATGTAGTACTCGTTGTCTTCAAATTTCTGCATTCTCAAATATTTACCGTACATTTCAAGACTTTTTAAATGTAGCAGCCAGAGAAAATCCGAAAATTGCATCGTAAACTCATGGAAAATATTTAATATAACTCTTATTTATGCTACGTGGATTTTACAATTTTTCTCTCGCATTATTTGTGGAGAAAGGAAATATGATTCTGTATAGATTTTGTGACAAGTTACAAATCACGTTTGTTCTTATCTCATCTGTCCCACTTCCTCGAAATACAACATGATAGGCAACAGCTTCTGATTCCCCTTCTTAAGGGAGTGGTCAGGTTAGCTAACACATAGTGGAGAAAAATCATTGAAATGCACAACATTGGATTCGTGGAATATATTACTAATTTATGCACAGTGGACCAACCTTTACCCTCAAGTGACTATGTACTACCAAACTTTATTATTCTCAGTAACTGAAATAGAGTTTCGAGTATCTTACATTACTTTGATTAAGTTTTGATATTGCCTATCCCTACTGCAGATATATGTGTCTTCACCAAAAATTCATTGTTGAAACCTCTTACGAATTCAGGATTGCACATTATGTATCACGTATATTTCATTATTGCATATTTCATTGTATTCCTGTTTTCACCAACCCTTCCCCTACTGGTACACATACATCGTTAGTTGACGGGGAAGATCGAGAAATACATGACTGCATAATTGCACGTTACTGCAGATTTACGTCTTTCACCTTATAGTTTCATCAGGCCAATGATACAGTTCCCGCTCATTGAAGGACTGTTTATGGCAAGGGGAATATAGTCACAAACGACCAACTTCGTTAAGATATATTCTCTGTGGAACCTGTGGAAGTACGTACAGAAGTTCGGGATTTGAATAACCACTGTCAGTCAAAATGTTTTGGCATGATAAGCCTTTTAGAAATGTATAAAAATGCATAGTAATTAATTAGGCATAAAGTGTAGTGAATGTGTTAAAAGATACTTACAATGTCATCAATTTTTTATATCTATTCAGAATAGACCAGTGATATATGACAATTACAATTTAGTGAATGTTTCTTCAAATAAAATTTAGGTAAGTCTGAGCTGAATAAATGTGATTTTCCCCTAATTTATCCTTAGTGTATCCATAAGATGTGATCATAAATGTCGTAGTTGAAAGTTTTATAAACTTGGGGCTATATTCTACTGATTGCTTGTTATGAGTAAGTGGATATCATTCTCACTGATTGGTAGTACTTGCTAGCAAGATAGAAGTGAATTAAGAACTGAACGGGCTTCTCACTCGCTCGGGGAAAAGCTCATCAGTTGTGCGCTCAGCTTGACTCATATGGCAGAGCCTATTCAATTCAAATGAGCCGGTTTCCGATTGGCTACATAGGTGGACCGGAAATAAATTGAATGAAACTCGGGACATACAAATCTATCTTTATCTTGAAATTAGCACACCTGACAGTGAAACTTCACGACAGTTTCCCTCGGAAATTGAAAATATTCAGATCAAAATATGCTATCTGATTGACATCATAAATGGCAATGAGGAAAGTAAGAATAAGTGCAGGATGTGATGCACTACTTTATTGATTCATTTGAGTAGTTGTGATGAAATTTCACGTTAAACTGTGTATATGACAAAATACTAAGTGGATTTCGCGAATTTTGTATTTGACACTATTTTGTACACGGGTGAGAAAAACGCAACTGTATCTTACATTTCAGTTAGACATGAGCATCTAGAATGAAGAAAATGGTGAGAGGTTAAGAGACAAACTAATGACCATAGATTATTCGTTATCATCAGTCACCGGAAGTAAAAACGCTCACCATGACCACTATATGTACACATTGTACAGATTACTGAACAGAAATGCTTCGAAGGTGGATTTTTACCTGTGAAAGTTTGTGTAACTACTTTTGTTCAGGTGTGAGAAAAAACCTGTGGTTATGTCACTTATTATCAGGATAAAACGATAATAGGATTTTACGACAGGCTTATCATTCATGCCCATACTTTGTTAATGAATATAGAGCATGACGAGTATAGAGTTAGAAATGCTTTTCACTTAATTATCACTCTCCTTCGACAGTCATTCACAAGGTGTACCCGATACCTGTGAGAGTCTTTTATTTCTCAGTATCTCATACCAGTCAGTTACTTCACCTTGAACTGTTGAGGCCACTGGTGATGAATCATGGTACACGGATTACTGCTTAGTTCAGCAATGGATGACACGGATTTGATCGTGAGTTACGTCAATAAACCAGATGAAATTTACTGGTGAGATAACCATAGACGACAACAAAGTCAAAGAAAGCATCATTTTGTTGGCTGACATCCACAAAATGTTCCTCACATCCACAAATGAGCAGATATAAGGTTTCATGAGATATACGTGGGCATAGCACATACTAGGATTGTGAAAATATTTGAGAGTGTATTTAACTAGGAAAAACACTGAAGGAAGAACACGGAATACATGAAACAAGTTCTGCTTCATGACAGTGTATATGTATTATGCAATTTTGACTATTCATTCAATTGAAAAATAAAAAATTCTTGAAAACATACTTAGTTTTGGAACATATTTCGCTGTAGTGGAATTAATTCGTGTAGAAAACAAGATTGTATTATTTTAACTCAATATATAATATTCTAATATGCTTTTTCGAATCAGAAGCATAAACAGATAAGCACTGTTATAAAGGTTTTCATTTTTCACATAATTAACAGCAATTATATGAGTAACGTAGCTTCTTAATCAATTCTTCCTCTGATTTTGATGCTGAACACTGGAAGTAGTCAATCACCGTTGAGAAGTTGGATCCAACCTGAGTTTCATACTTTGTTGGTAGTTTTCCAACAGGCGTTTCTACATTTTTGTAGAGACTCATGTTTCGTTTAATACTTGAACTTGCACGACTTACTTCTGAAGTGAGTGATGTTATATTCAAGTAGATTAGGTGATATTTGAGATCACATACGGCTCACTGTTGTAAACATATTGATCAGTACAATCATAATGAGATCCTTTCGAAGGCTTTTAAATTCTTCTTCTTGATTGGTTGTTCTATTGACAGACAAATAGTGATCGCTTCCTTGAGGGCATTACTGCACACTTTATTTATTTTTATTATTCCGTTAGGTTTTGAGTTAAACATAGGGATTCAGAGGCTCATAGCCATTTAGCCCTACTCTTCATTTTTGTTTTCGTGTGACTGTGCTCTTTCACCTCCTCCTTACATGATCACATGATTTCCTCTAAGTCACCCTCTGACCTGATCAAAACTCGTCGTTTCCCACTCGTGTTCAACCTGATATGTAGGTGCGTGCTGTCTTATGAGCATATTTCCAGGGTGACAGGTTTTTGGTCGTTTCGTCCCCAGAGTTCCTTGTTTCTCATCCTTTCTGGTCACCTAGCTGATCATCAGTACAGAGCAAAGACAGCAGTTGTTATTCTCCCAATTTTGTTCAGCTTTATACTACTTATCAGTAATATGCAATATGAGTTGTATTTTGTTGCTCCGTTAGCATAGCTGTTATTAGCCATTGAAGTTTATTTCGCATGACGTATTAATATTCTATTTGATATGAAGCAGTTGTCTTCTCATAGTTAAACGGTATCTACTGGGAGAAATGGCCACCGGCAGATTACTCTCGTCAATGACATTTGAAGCTTGTGGTTGTTGTTGTTGATTAGGTATCTCCATCACCTCTGTCTATTCTATGTTCCAATGAGGTCTTGTCTTCGCTGTTTGCCTCTTCTGCCAATTTGTTGGTTTTCGCCTGTAGATCCCAAAGTCTGTTTGATATTAGGCATAATTAATACATATACTACTTATATCTATTCATTAGTAGCACACACAACCACACTGCTTCTTATTATATCATAGTTTTATTAATTAGAATGAGGAAATGAAAAATACTGCATAAAATGTGATAATCACAATAAGTGGTGATCCACTGAAAATGTTCCACCTATCACTTACTCAGGGTTTTTGTCCTCCTCCAGACTGCCTTTTGGACTAAGAATGTGTACAAAAGAAGTGTGTACTTCATTTTTCAAACACTATTGGATAATAAAATTAAAACGTGTTTATTTCATTCAAATCAAGGCATCTATGTCAATCGCTCATCATATCAGTTAAATATTTCCTAAGGAAGTTCGAACCAGTTTGCCCAAGGAAAAGTTTGAGTTACTCATTTCAATTTCTCTGAGATTTTACAAATATAATTTCCACATATGTCTAACACTAATCTGCTTCGAACCAACGCTAATATTCCCTAATTAGGTCAGCCAGACGCCAACCTTTCCCTCGTCCAAACCTGAGATTAATCTCTCTCTGAAACCCAAACCTAAAGTAACCAGATATCCAGTTTAATATCATAACACTTTATTCAGCATTTTCTTCTCAAGAATGTGGTGCTGTGGTGGTGTGATACAGACAGTGTGTGCCAACGGAATATTATTCTCACATATTCCTACAGTTCGACTCGGCATTAGCAACAGAATGCCATATATCTATTTGAACATTCTATTTGATGTTAGAGTGGGAATGATATTCCCACAGTTCGATACTGCATACATTATGTCTATTGGACATTCGCTTTGGTGTTTGAAACAGAATACTTTCCCATGGTTCAGTACTGCATTGTCAACAGGATACTGTGTATGTTTGAACATTCTGTTTCACGTCGTTTGATGTTAACCGAAATCACACGCTCAGTGATTGGTTAAAAAAATACAAACTGTACATATATAAACAGTGGTTCGATCAATGAAAAATATACTTTGGCCTGCCCTCTGTTGTTACAGTGCTATTTACATAATTTCAATAAGTTGTTGACTGGGCATTCCAAAGTAATGAGTACTTTTGCAATTTGTGGGTGCCTAAAGTTTGACTTGGTCCTAGGTAAGGTTGTTCATCATAAAGATTCGAATCAGTTTATTCTACTTACAATAGTGTCTCCATTTCTTGGCTAATTTGATTTTTTTATCAAAGTAATAAGACAAACAAGATTTATATACCACTGGTGAGTCCAAAACACGACTGTAACATTTAAGTCATCAGTATACATACTAATATATGCATATATATAAATATATTTATATATATATAATAATTCGCTCACATGTAAGGAGTTCATGACATTATTATTACTGTTATTGTTCCATTGGATCCCGAGGGGAACAAACGGCTTCAGTAGCAAATCTACATTTTAGCCTATTCTCTGTGGTCCTCTTTCGCTGGCCCCAGTACTGCCCATAGTCTCTCATCTCCTCATCGCGTGATCTTCTACATGTCACCCTTGCACCAAAGCCCAACTCGCCACTCGATTCCCATTCAGGTTCCACTCAGATGATGGCCTGGTACATCCTGTCAGTCAACGGTCTGCTCAATGTGTGTCCAATCCATCCACCTCGATTTTTCCTGCTTATTTGTTGGATGATAAGTACTTGATTGGTTCATTCCCATAGTTTCCTGTTGGCTATTCTTTCTGAGAAGCCATCTAATCTTCAGTATCGAGTGAAGGCGGCAACTGTTGACAAACGTCTGCACTAACTTGTTGGAAATGCTATTCGTGACGCACTCTCCATGTTTCTGACTCATGTGAAAAGAGTGACTGCATTAACACTGTTGTTTAATACTTGAATTTTGTTCCCTATATTGATTTCATAAGATTTCCTGACTGGTTTCAGAGCGATGAATGCATGCATTGCCTTTTCGACTCTCGATGGCTCCGACATCCTCATCCGTGCCGCTTTTAGGTTATCTGAGACTAAACCATCCATCTGAGAGAACACAACTACACTGAAAATTTACCTATGTCCTTTTAATTAGTACTGTTTAATATTTTATCCTAATAAACTTAGTACTGAGTGTGTTTTGTCATTGGGTTAGTTAGGGAACCCTGAAAACATTAATCACTTCATTTCTATCCTTTCGGATGAAATGCTAAGCGTTCACCTTAATATTTGTTCCTTTTGAAACCAAGTCTTAATTAATTTTCGGATGCACCCTGATAAAAAGAGGTGTTCCAATAGAGTACTAAATAAACGTTTGGCTGCCTAGTTCCCAAATTGAATTTCATTCTCTACTAAATGTTTCCTGAAATGAACTAATTGATAAGAAACTGCAAATACTATAGGTAAATTATAAGTACATTATGCACATTAATGAAGTATATTAAACAACGTTTTTGATTAGCTTGGGTAAAAGTGTCTCTTTCTTGACATACTGAGATGTATTCAAACGATAGAATCAACAATACGCATTGCCTTCCATCTATGTCACGTCAACAGGATATTCATATACCTAATGTCGAGTATAGCAGGGTCATCAAGTTATATGCTCAGTGTTCATTCTTTCATGAGTGATGGTTATCTCCTTCATTACTGAGTCGCATTAATGAGCTTTCCTGTCAAATTCATAATCTTAGATCTCATTTATATTCATCATTTCGGATTACTGAGTCTTCCTTAAATAAGCCTTAAAAGTATGTCTGATACCTATTGTCAAATCGATAAAAGCTGAATGGAATTTTCAATTTGATTCTTCCCATCTATTTGTCATTAAGATCAAATCCTTTCTGGTCAAATACAAACAAGTTTGATCACTTTTTTTCTGGTTGTCTTGTATTTCTTATAGGATTTCAAAACAGCGATTAAATCATTCTAAAATAATAGTTGATAATTCTTTCTGAAATTATATTCAGAATTGAGCGTTTTGTCGGTTTTTTCTAATGTGTGGTGGTGGTAATTGCAACTAAGCTTATTGGTTTGAAGTTTCACTTACAGCAATACCATTCACTTGGATGTAAGTATATTCGGATGACAAGGGCCTAGAGCAGGACAGCAGCCACGCCATTGATTCCGTTAGTGTAGTAGTACTTGAGTCACTTATATGCTCAAAGAGAATGCATTAAAGCTGAATAACCATAACTTCTAGGGGAATTTTCGAAGTTAAGGCTTTCGATTAATACCAAAGTGAACAATTGTGGTTTCAATAAATTCTTCTTCAGGCTCTATAATTAATTATAAATCCATTAATTTAAGCATACAATAGCCAGTAAAGGCAAATTAGAATCATATCATAAAGTGTTTAAAGTAATTTCAAAGTGAGAATTACTCTAATGTTGAAACCGAAGATAAATTTATTTATTCACTTACACTTTTTTGATATAAGTGGAACTAAAATGGAAGCATTATACAGTTTATGCATTTGTAATACCATTTTTATTTTATTCCATATTTTGTGCATAAATGTTTGGTGCTATAATGCACTGCAATTTTGTGTCACTTGATTAGAATCATCATTCAGTTCTTGTTTTTGTAGTTGTCAATAGTCATTATCAAAGTGTATCTGTCATGTTGAAAAAAACACCAAAATTTCTCCTTAGCTAATGCACTATTGATGGCAGGCAGTTAAATCTCACAGAAATCAATAGATCATGGAATGCTGAGTAGTGCTCGTTCACACTGGATTTATTTTGACCACAAGAATATATCAATACTAAAGTTTCCATAGTGGATTATGGATATTCGTACTCAATGAACAGGTATTTACGCAACCAGCGTATGACTATGTTCGCTTTCTACTGATTATAGGAGACCAGAGATTTAATGGCACAAAGACAAAAAGAAGACATCTAGTATTCGTAACCTTTTAGTTCATCATAAGCCTCTCAAAGCATGTACCGATTCGCCCATACAATCAGTTGTAAACAGTTCATGTGAATAAATATACATTTATATGTGGAACTTGCGATTAAATATTTTGAAAGGCGGAAAAGTGAACCAAGAATATTCTTTCCGACAACTTCATCAAGTTCCACAGCATTATTATCATTGTTTTTTTGGGTTCCGAGGGGAAAATAGGCCTTCAACAATACATCTCCACTTTGTGCTATTTTCTGTTGTCCTCTTCATCCGGGACCACGATTACCCATAATCTCTCATCTCCTCTCACGATATTCTCCCTGTCACCCTAGGAAGACCCAGTTGTCACTTCCCATTTGTGTTCCATTCCAACAATCCCTTGGTGCATGATGTCATTCGACGGTCTCCTCAGCGTATGACCAATCCATCTCCGTCAATTGAGCCATGCGTTCTTTGTTGGTTCGCACCCAGAAATTTGTTTTCTAATTCTTTCGAGCTGGCCATTTGATTTTCAGTTTGGAGCCAGACAGGGCAGCTGTCTATAGAAATCTGCAACCCGTTGGAAGTACTTTTCGTAAGTACAATGTCGGAGAGGTGACTCGAGGTTGGTGTTGAAAAACCAAATCTTGTTCTTAATGCTGAGAGGTTCCACAGTAATACATCCACCCGGTAGATGATAGAAAATAAATAGTCAATACTATCAATTCAGCTGCTCCTGTGCAGCCAGTTATATATTGGCTCTAGCTCTAGGAAATTCATTGTTTGCGCCTCAGAACACCTACCAATGTGGCTAAATAACAGTGAAGTGTACAGAGTTAGTAGTTCGACGTTAGCACTCCTGGTTCCTTCAGACTATAAGGTAGACAGAGATGATTCCTTTTCTATCATTTATCATATACCGAATAATCTACCAACCAGTGTACTTTGTATACAGAATACTTTAAACAACAGAAGCCATCCTGCCCTGTAGTAGAATCTATATATTCACAATTACTATATTAATTCTCCTAATTCATCTGATATTCAATTTAGTGTTATATTTATGCATACTATCTGTCACACACACGCACATGTTTTGAACAGTAATCCACTGATCTTAATGATTCGACATAACTTAAAATATCAGGGCTGTCAATAACAATCATTCTTTAAGTATTATGGATATATCACTGTAGAGTCTGATGAAGTTATCAAAGAGAATCTCTGGAATTATTCACTCTACTGAATAGCGATTAAAATAACATGACAGAAGTGTAGAAGGGCAAGGATTTTGTTGGTGTTTGAATTCAAGCAGCCGTAACATTTGACTTCACGCATTGAGCATTCCATATCCTCATGTAGGTAAATTTCAGTTTCAGGATTTGATTTCTAAGACTAACTACCAAGGCTTTAGTAGGCAAACGACCGGTGCGAAAGTAATTTTCGTCAGAAATCGAAGGCATTTAACGAATCACTGGGCACTAGCATCAGCTTGGAATTCATTTCATCCCATTATTGATTTCGTTTTAAGTGAATTCACATCGTGTTAGTATGAGGGTACATCATCATTCACTGAATTGGTCGACGTTTACCAGTCTAAGTTGCTTATTTCTTTGCAGACAACAATGATTTCTAAACACTTCCAATATAATCTGTTTGACACCGGAAATTTCGATACAATGAGGTGGTATTTGATGCAAACAAAACGCTATCCATCCAGAGGTATGCAGTATGAAACTCTTAGAGATCAGGATCAAAAATTTTATTGAAAAAAAAGAAACAAAAGCGATAACAGAGATACTGACGTACAGATTGCCGCCCGGTTGCCTAACAAGAGAAAAAAAACACGAAAAGGTTTTGAAATCAAAGAAGAAAAAGTGTGAATAAATGAATTGAAATTCAAAGCAAAATATTAACATTAATTGTATTGAACGACCAGATCAAGGACATTACCATTTATTAACTCAAACTATAACTGATCCCTTGTTTATCCTCAAATGCACTGATGGTGTTTTAAGCAGCAGGTATCACTGTAATCACTGAGCTCATTGTCCTGTCACCAATGATAATTGTGGCACTGTATTGAGGCATAAAATATACCAAAAATCGAATCTTTCGCTTCCAATTAACCCTTCAAATCAACATGCTGTAGGGTAGTGCAGTCACCGTTTCTGAAATTTCAGGTTGAGTTTTGCAAAATTAGTAAAATACACTGTTTATGTCAACTGAAAGCACTTCATCACTGAATGGCGGTGGTTTAGTGGTACAATGTTCACCAGCAACGCTCGTGGTTCCGGATTCAGTCACTAGTCGATGGACTCCAATGCTATTGATTAATTCACGAACCGTTAGTGAGCCTGAAGAGAATAGGGAGGTTCGGCGTGTGGCATGTGAGGCTTCAATCTTTAAGTCCTTCGTTCCACTCAGAAAGTGAGGAATGAAAACAAGTGTAGAATTCATGCAATCAGTCCAAAAAGCTTTAGCCGACAGTTGGCCTAAAAAGCGTTTAATGTTATTTTTCCCACTAGTCTATTAATCACAAATGAAATCTAATCATAACCAAGTGTATAAATCACGATTGAAATCAAGAAAGAATTCGGATTAAGGCAGAACTTTATTAAGGAAGCTTTGAGGTCAAAGAAAATACAAAACTACGTATGGAACAAAAATGGCTATTTTATATCCCCAAAATCTCTGGAAATTTTGGTCTGACATCAGACCATAACATCAAAATCACTATATTTTGCGATTACTGCTCACTTATGGTACCTTTTATATTTCACACGTGTTGCGTTGGCTGGGCTGTCGGTGGTTGCTACCTGCCTAAACTTCTTAGTGAATCCAATAATTATCAAGTTAATTTGATGCACATAAAATTAGCATCGTTGTCAACTGTTTTGACTGTAGTTTGAGACAGTAATACCTCTTTTGTCAACAGCCCATCTTCTCTTCTTTTTCCCCATGTTGGTAGTACTCTTATTAATGCTGTTCAAATTAGCTATTGGAGCAGTTTTCGTCAGCTCATTAGGTTCTTACAACTTGCAGTCTACTAGGCTGTATCACCGGTCATGTCAGTAGTATAGTGGGAATTCAATTCAAGTCATGTGCAATGGATAAACTTACGGCGGATGCCTCAATTTACTGTACGAAAAAGAGGAAAATATCGGTATCATTCGGTGAATTAATCGTATTTACACAAGGGTAATCAAGAAATACAGACAGGGGTGAATCACCTTTTGACAGATAAATGAGACATACTTTGATACTACGCCTGATATTTCTGGTTTAGCTTGTAGAATTCTACCACCTTTAGTTATATCGTAAAATGATATATCTGCTGAGTTCTGTCATTTTAAGGATATTGCAACAGATATGATACCTGAATGAATGTAGAAAGCCCTGAAGATGAAATACACAATAAAAATCTCCCTATCATATGTGAAAATCATCTCTGAAATCACTGCAGGACCATTGGAATCGCTTGAATTAGATCTCCCCGATAAACCAATAAAATGAACTGTATCCATGCAGTGGCAACCAGAAGATGCAACTGCAAAAGAAGATGAAATCAACATCAGCTACAAGGTAAATAAAAGGAACTGTTGAAGTTTACACACACATACATAGCTACATTAGAAAATTTCAAGTAGTCTATTGGAATACGCTTCTGCTTCTCTGCATTAAAAACCTACTGTTGTTGATGCCTGTTGATGCACCAAGGTAAAATTTAAACAGATCTGTTACTCTTGATTTCTTAGTAATTTCTGGTGTAATCAAGGAATATGATCTGTGAACGGAATGCTAGTCACCTCACGTGTCCAATTTGAGGAAAAGCCTGCTATAAATGATATTTTCTCTAGTCAATCAACTTTTAATTCAGCACTTCGACATATTTCCCGTTAGTCTTATCGACAGGTCATTGCTAAAGGGCAATCAGATATTTCAGGTAGATTTGACACCTGTTAATTAGAGGTTCGTAGAGAACTCGGCAACTAGAAGGTTTAAGTCTGGATTCTCTTGTTTCAACTCTTCTGCTTTCTCTTCATCAATGTTATGACTGTTTTCTTTCTTCATTCTGCACTTGTAGATTTCCATTTTTGTCTGTTATCTTGTTTGCTTAAGTACTACACAATATGCATCCGATTTTAGAGATAAATTACTAGTGCACTTTCAAACAGCGATAATCACACCACTTTACAGTTTCACTTTGTCTTACAGCAATGCCACGTGAAAGAATCATTAGAAGCTAAGGGCAGGTGTTTAATCCTAGCCTAAATATCTTTACAAATGAGTGGTAGTAAGGAGTGCATAAGTATAGCAAAACAGTTTTAAATACGGAGGTGCTCAGCACTGTCTCAACTGTAGGCAGAAAGGATGATGATGTCAAAGTCAGTTAGGACCAGGAAACTAAGACAGGTGGTCATTAATCTGAAGTCATTGTGGAAATTGGAATCACATAAAGTAATGGAAAAGAGTAAAATGACCAGTGCTAAGCGGAATTCATTGCTTCTCAACGTAATCGAAAGCATTTTAAACAACCTACTGGAGACTTT